TAAAGACTTTCTTCACTTACTCAATCTTCATAGCCTTGGTTGTCTCATTTTAAGTCACATGCCTTCTCTTGTATGTTAAAGGTCTGTTGCTTTGCATAAATGGATTATTTTTATTCTTCTGCTCAAATCCCTTTACATCTCAGTCATAGACTGAAGCACTTGAACTAACAACTGTTCTTGAGTCCTCTATCTGCCAGAAGTCCTTCTGCTCTTCTCCTCCTCAGGTTCTTCTTCAGACTCTCTATCCTTTCAGCTCTAGCCTTTCACCTCCTTCTTGGGTTTCTCTCCTTGAATCCTTTTTGTATTAGTCATTCTCCCTTGATTTCTCAGGTCCTCTTGAACTTCTTTTCTCACATTCAGTCTCTGACCTTCTTTACAATTTCAAAATCCTCCAAATCACTCTTTGGATTACTGGCCTTTCTTTTATGTAATCATTGCTAAAAGCAAGAAGTAGAACAAATGGAATATATAGTAGTGATGGGTTGAAACTAAGATGATGATATCTAATACGGATAAAAATAAAGTACTGAATTTAGGCTTAAAAAAATTAATTGCACCAATATAGGATAGGAGAGACCTGGCTTAATAATTTGTGTGAAGTAACTGCTAATTTTAACTGATTACAAACATGAAAAATTCATGCATTTTTATATAGCAATATTAGAAGCATAATGTCAAGTTGAAAGGAGGTAAGAGGAACAGTTAACTTGAACTCATCAAACCATAACTAGGTGATGATATCCACATCTCAGCACCACATTTTTGGAAGGACATTGGTAAACCTGGAAACCATTGTATGCTGAAAGGAACCTTGAAAAGAGAAGACTTATGGGCTTTTCTAACAATTACAGCTATTAAAAAAGGAACTGGCTATCTAAAAGGTGAATATTTTACATTATAAAGACTTGAACACTAGCTGATCATTAGTTAGGGATGTGGTAGAGGGGGTACTGTTGTACCAAGTGGGAAATTGAACTAAATGACTGCTGAAGTTTCTTCTAGCTCTAAGGTTTTATGAAACAATTAAACACTTTGCGAAAATCTAAAAATAGAGATTATTTCAAGAGTAGGCTAAGCATTCCCAAAGACGTTGAAGGGGAAAAAAAAAAAGGATAAGTAGAAGGCCCATGATGTTGCCCTGGATGGATACTACTACAGAGGATTTATTTAAAGATAGGAACCAGAATTACACATAATGAGGAATAAGATGTGAAGAGTTTGTGATCATAGTAAAGAAGAAAATATCCATAACAATGAAATCAGGGATCCACCAAAGTAGTAAAAGCATCCTTAACAAATATGAAACACTGGTAGCCAAAAATGTTGCCGACAGGCTTCTTTGCAAAGCCAATTATGTTACATCAGTCTCAACACATACATCAAACAAACCAACATTTATTAAGAATGTACATGTTTCCCCCAATAAAATCAACATGTTAAATGAGATGCATGATTATCTTTTATAAAACATTGCAGAATGTTTTAAATTACAAGTATAATGAAAGATATGAATTTATAATCAATCTAAAATATTTCTGAAAATAAAAAATATATTCTCATCTCATCTGCCTGTTGTACTATAAATACATTTTCTCTTGGCAACTTTACATTAACAATAAACATTTCAAATAACTAAAAATACAATCAATTTGATAATGCACTAAGTATTAAACTGAAGGCTCAGTTTTATTGCACATAAAATATAAATTCTGCTAAGGTTATTCTATAAGAGATCATGCAGAAGAAATAATTTGCATGAAAAAGGACTTAGAAATAGGTAGAACACTTTTAATGATACTAAAAATATCAGACATTAGCAAAATTTTTATTCTCACATTAAGCTACATTTACTTCTTCAGGAAGTTATATTCAGCAAGTATGTATTTGAGTTCTAATGTCAATAATCACAGAAAGAATGCAAGCTATTAAATACACAACCAAACAGTTGTTTGCAAATCCAAATTCATATAAAACCCTTTCTGTGGATGGTTTATCATCATTCATCTCCTAACTCACCACCACCCTTTCTAGACATCTAAAAAAAGTCTGAAGAAAGCATCTCTTTAGCTTTATTTTAAATGGTAAAATCTTGAGTACAGTAAGCAATACTGCTTTCTCTAGCAAATACATGTACTTGACAGTCATAATTTTACCACTGAAATACAAAAAATTAGGGAAAAAAAGTACAGTTAAACATATACTATAAACTAAACCTCAATTACTGAAGCTTTCATTCAGCTAAGGGCAGAATTTTAGACCACGGCAGTTGAGTTAGGTATCTATAAAATTTTCAGTTACTTGTTCTGCCTTTTTTTTTTTTTTTCCAAATTTCCTTATCATAGTGGCCTATCACGTAAGTATCCCTGAAGGTATGCATCTTTCCATTAATAAGATTGTATTGAATAAACTTTGGCAACATTCAAAACAAAAATTATATTTGAAAATGTACTATGTATGATAAATAGAATACATACTTCTATAGCAAAAGCCATTATCAGCATATTATATTCTTAGTCAAACAGTATCTTTTCAGAAGATGAATATTCTAGACTCTGCATAATGAAAAAAGAGAGCTCCTAAACTCAAGGTCACCTGAGAAGAAATTTCAAGACTAAAGATTTCATAATTAGTATAAAAGCTAAGGAAATTAAAAGTGAACCACCATTCTTCCATGTTATTTCTGGAGTAATAAATAAAATCCACTCTGGCTTTTGCATACTAAAATATTTGCTAAGTGAACTATAAAAAAGTAAGTGCAAGCTTTCAGAACAGTGAGGTAAAATGTCAAACCCAGAATACACTGATAAACATGCAGCAGGGGTGAGTGGAAAGATCACTGGGAATTCCAGTCATGTGAAGTTCTGGCTCTAGCTCTGCCACTATGAGAATAGTAACCTGAACAAATAGTAACCAGTAACCAAATAGTAATAGTAACCAGAACAAATCAATTAAAATCAGTTAATCTCCTAATCTCAGTTTCTTCATCTGTAAAATAAATAGACTGAACTACATCAGGAATCAATAACCTTTTAAGGGAAAAGAGCCATTTTTGTTATTTTTTAGAAAATAATTCTTTAAAAACAATTGATGTCAAAGATTTTTACATCAACTTTATGTGCAATTTACACATTTTAAAATGGAAGACGGGCACTGGAGAACTCCTAAAACTTCTTCCTGTTTGCATATTTGTACAAATTTCTTAAAGTAGCTGTCAAAGGCAGAGAGAACCTGGCTCTGAAGCAATGAGGTATAAGACAGGAGGAATCACAGGTAGTAGGCAAAAAACAAGCTCTACCTACACTGCTCCTATGCTGAATGAGAGCCTAAATGATGAGAATAGCTCCAGATGGGGTAACTCCTCCTTTTAGGACACTATGCTTCCAACCTTGGAATATGAAAGCTCTGACAGTTTTGGGTCAGCAATCCATTGTTCCTAATAGTTAAGGCTTTTGCCTATTAATGAGAGGAATCAAAACACTAAAAGCTGCATAATAGTAAAGATCTACAGTGGCCCTGGCAACCCCTGGATCAGATCACTAAAGCTTTCTTTAGCTCTAAAATTCTATGATTATAAAACTTATGCAATATTTATGCAATATGCATAAAAATCACGCAATAATCAAATCAATGCTTAAGAAGCGGTTTCATGAATTAATCACTAGTGCTAAGTAGGAGCTGAAATTTCTTTATTCTCCGTACTTACTTTGCTTTATCTGGTTGGGAAGAATTCTTCACTTCCCTTAATTTTAGACCTTCCTGAGATAATCCATTACTATCTAAGGTTTTATTTGTTTAAGTAAGCAGACATAAAGTAAGGAAAGGCTGGCTCTCCTTTCCTTTAAAAAAAACTCAACCTAACACAATAGGAAAGAGCTTTTCAACAGAAATTCTTTAGTCCATTGTCTCTGAGAAATGTGCCATTATTAGTAATGACCTGGTAGGTTTAGAAACAGAGATAACTGATACTTAGCATCATCAAAAAGAAATAGCTAGATTAGCAAACAGATAGCTTACTAATAATTAACCTAAAAAAAAACTCCACTACACTTTCTTAGCATCTCCTTGGATTAGAATGTAACCTATTAGATCATGATTTTGATAATTAAAAAAAGCTTAGCTTTTCCAGATTATACATGCAGACTTTTCCCAAAATCTTAGCATGTATATCTCTCTCAAATGACTAAAAATTCTGAACATAAAGATGCAATTGAAATATGAATGTTGATGCTTTACGAGACAAAAACAATTGTTAAAGTGTGTACTATTCAAGCCTCATATTTTCTATTCTATCAAAAGCTTAAAAACTAATCACAAACTTTAGTAGTCATTAAATTATTAAGAGGTCTACTTCATATTTTTGTGTCAGAGGGTCGTGGTCTAACGAGGTAGCAATGTTCAACCAATGCACAGTCACTGTTTTACTCATATTTCCCAACATTTCCTAACTTTCTTCTCAAAAAGAGAATGTAACTGGAAGGCATTCATTTACCAAACTCCCTGGATAGGGACAGCTATTAATTCCTATGCATTTGACTGGGGTACCCTGAACTTACAGGACTGGGGTCAATGATATACCATTAAAGTGGTGGTATACAATGGGAACTTAAAAGAAAATGTAACCTTAGCTTGCTTCTATTAGCCAATTTAAAAGTTTTGAGTTGTCATGTCCTATGTGAGTATTTTTTGTGACAAACTATTTTCTTGGATAATAATTCTATTTATTGAATTTTTAAAAGTGATATTGTGAAATCAAACTTTTATAGTTAAATACTGATTATAGGCTCATTTGTAATAAATAAAATTGTATGCAATATTTCTATGGCTGGAAAAAAAAGTACTCTGAGTATCTTAAAAAAAAAAATCTAACCCTGAGAAGTAATTTTAATACTTTTCAGGTCAAGTATACAATAAATAGATTTAATTTTACTTGTACTTTCATTTTCTGATAAAGCTATTATTTGTATTTATTTTAAAAAAGCAATATTTTCATGATAGTCACAAGGTCAAAGAAAAAACTATTCCCCAAATACTTGTATGTAAGACACAATCAGAAAAGCTAACATTATATTTAATTAAATTAAAATTAACCCAACCTGAATGTGTATGATATGCTGAGTACAGAAAGGAATTGTGACCTTGGAACTTCTCTCCCAAAAACTGAAGTCAATATTTACTAAAATATAAGACTACAAAGTTTTATAATTTCTTATAAGAGAATGTTATAAAGAATACAATTCTGATAACTTTAAAATGTAATCTAGCAATTTTCCCATGGTACTAAACGAACTGACAACTATCTACTGGGAACCCATTACAAGTTGCCTACATATAATATTTTACTTGGTGATCCACATGCAGGATGTTCTTTGAACTCTATTACATGTTGGCTGAGAACATAACCTTGGCCAATTTTTTTTTTTATACTTTTAGTTCTCAAAATACATCAAAGCAGTAAGCCAATTACTTATTAATAAACCTATTACTAAAAAAAGTTGAAACCATATAGAAGATTTGGCAAAAAAGAATGCATCTAACTTCATGTTATATTGTATTATGTTAGGTTTTACTGTTAGCAGTTATGTTTTAGGGGTAGTAACTTGCAAAAATCTAAATCTATACAATAATGAGACAAATTCTAATACCATTTAATTACACCACCCAGAACTCAAGTGCTGCCAATCCCAAGACATAAATTATATATTTTTTGACATACGCTTAGAAAAAACAGGTATTATGCATATGATTTAAGGAGATGGAACATTAAAAGTTTTGAGGAAATATAACTTGTTTTAAAAGGGAATAAATGAAAAACTTTTTAAAAGTTCAGGACTATCCATGGGATGCAAAAAACTATATGAAAGAAAAAACATAACAAAGGCACACTATATATTCAGTTTACCCCTGCAACATTTAAATAAAGGGGGTATAAATAATCATTACTTTTTAACAATTATGAACAATGATCACTATAATATCCTTTCATAAAAAAGAAGGTACGCCTGTGCATTAAGTGCTCTGGATTCTGGAACCATTTGCACATGAGTATCACTAACATGCACCCATTGTCCTGCTGATGCTCCTGTAGTTTCTTTTAAACCTATAATACAAAAATAAATAACATTAAAAATCTTTACATTGTTTTTTAATTGTGGCAGTTAGCTCAAAGAATAATTCTAATTCTGAACTAAGACATCTATAAAGAAGGAGTTTAGGGTCTTTTTTTAACGTAGGGGAAGTAGAGAAAGAGGATATGTTGCCTCGATAGTTTTAGTAAAAACACAAAACCTTAAGAAAAACACGATTTTAAAGTGCACTAAACATTTTAAACTACCAGTATTTGACCTCTCCTCTAATATATGAAGCATTCTTGTTTATAATACTTAATTTTAAAAAACTGTAAAGTTTACAATAGAAGACATCATTGTAAGGAGTAGTATATAAGCCACTATCCTGTCTTCTGAAAATTATACCTGGATGTTATGTTATTTTACACATTTACTAAAGCTTTTAAACTTCAAAGTTGAACAAAGAAATAGAAACCTTGAATTCAAAGTATGACACAAATGTTTTAGGGGTATGATAATTTGAGATCCTTTTGTTCCTAATCCAACAGGTTACAGTCTAAAACCATTAGTTGGGAGATATCCCTTTACTTTCAGTTATGTTCATGCTTAGACTATTATTGAAATAGGAGTCCATGTTCTCTTTCTTAAAATTTCTAAAGAAGGTGATGCTACAATTTCCTTTACCAAGTTAAGAAACTTTTCCTAATATTTATCTTTTTTCATTCTTACCAAAGGTGTTTCATTTTGATTACTGTAATATAACTAGATAACAGCTCTGTGCACCACTACCTATCTCTATATATTGCTAGATGTTGCTGCGTATAAATAAGTTCCTTCCTGGGTAAAGCACCTTCCAAGTGGCACTTTTTCAAAACATTATGGTAAAGGTAATAAGATGGATATCTATGTAATAAGATAGACATATTATATACTCTTTTTTTCTTTGGTAAGGCAGTTGAGGTTAAGTGACTTGCCCAGGGTCAAACAGCTAATATCAAGTGTCTGAGGTTGGATTTGAACTCAGGTTCTCATGACTCCAAAGCTGGAGCTCTATCCACTGTGCCACCTAGCTGCCCCTTATATACTCTAAAAGATTTGTGTCATCAAGTCCAGTATTATTTCAGTCCAAGAAATATTCCTCTAATTACCAAGAAAATTCAAGTAGAAGGGCACTGTCCATTATTTCTAATGAAGACTATCTAGGACACAAATTTTCCTCTTTAGAAAAGTAATTTTTAGGGGGAAGCTAGGTGGTGCAGTGGATAGAGCACCAGCCCTGAAGTCAGAAGGACCTGAGTTCAAATCCGGCCTCAGACCAAATACTTAACACTTACTAGCTGTGTGACCCTGGGCAAGTCACTTAACCCCAATTGCCTAAAGGAAGAAAAAAAGACTGAGCTAGAAAAGTAATTTTTACTTGATAGTAAAATGAAGAAATTAAATTTCAATTTATTTGATACACATATGAAGCAGTAATTTTAATACCGAAAGATGAAATTAAGTATGACATACCATGGATATTTTTATTTCCAACAACTTGGTCTAATGATTTCTTGGAAGTTGTTCTGACTTTCACATAAGCTGTATAATGGCCTCCTCTCATTGAGCCACTATGTTCCACTATTCCATAAAGACCATAGAGAACTCTCTCTCCACTGGTTACATTCTTTTTTTCAAAGAAACAAAAAAAATTTCCAATTAGTATTTTGTAGGAGTAAAGGATGCTGAGGGAAATTCTAAAGGTTACTAATTAAATTCATATTAAGTCACCAAATATAGTTATTATAAAATTTGGCCATTACAGAACTTCTGCACATGGAAAATAGGGATGAAATCTACTTATTTAGAATTGGCAAGAAGCCCAAAGTTAGAGCATTAAATTTATTGTCTGGAAAATCCTAAGTCTTCAGGCTATTTTATTATCTAATAGAAACCAAAAAACTTCCCTTTCAGGAAGTACAAAGAACTATACTAAGATTAGATCAGCATTCTTAAGAGTATTTCACTCAATAGACAATCCCATGTCCCTGATATAATTCCTCTTCCTGTCTGTGGGAAAAAAACTTTATAGGCAACCATTAATGCACCTAAGTATCAAAGCTCCATAAACCACCTTAGGAGACAGGATCATTAAATTCAAGTCCATTCTTTAATATACCCTTTTTTGCGGACTGACTTATGACACTGAAGGTTTTAAGATCATCATATGATACAAAGAAGGTCAGAAACTTGTTTCAACAATAAATTGGGTGGTTTGATTGCTCATGGATCTTTACCAATGTCCTTTGCTTTCAGATATGTTGTGAATATTTATATATTATATATAATAATTATCCAAAGACAAAAGAAGGGATGACAGCGAATACAATATTCCTGATGCATTGATTTAATTAAGTAGTTGTGTATTTGCTTCAGGGAATGAATACGTTAAAAGCTTGATAGCTATTATCATAAATGAAAACAGTTCATTATATACTATACCTTGCAGGTAACAGAACAAAAGGGTGCTAAATCTAGCACAAGTGGGAAATCCACGTGTCTGTTTACTTTTCGCAGACTCAAACCAGCCTTCAAGAAAAAAAGTGTAAAAAAATGTTGAAATCTATAGAACTCATTTGACTTTGCACACTTTGCTACCTCAACTCAGTTGCTTTCTTACTCTGCAACTTCCCTCAGCATCTGGGGTCTTCTTAACTTGGACCATTCCTCTGCAGGCTGGCCCCCTTCTCCCACTGGTGAGTTCCTTCTAGAACTACATTCTGGAGGTAGGCCCAGGCCAGGCATGTTTCATTACCCTTCCAGCTGTTCTGATTCTGTCTCCTCTATTCTCCTACATTGGTAACTAACTCCCTCTATTGCCCCACTTTTCAGCTCCCTTTTATGTGGTCATCCCCATTAGAATGAAAGCTCCTTGAGGGCATGTACTATCCTTCTGCTAATATTTGTATTCCTCTAGCTAAGTACAGTGCCTGGCATGTTGTAAGGACTTAATAAATGCTTGTGCCGACCTTAAGCATAGCTCTTTATTACATAAAACCCAAAAGGTGGAAAAAAAAGTAAAATTACACAAAACGCATTTCCTATAGATTATAAAAAATATATAAAGGTGACATGGAGAAGTGGATTAAGGCCCGGTTCTCAATGTTGAAAAGAAAGGTTCCAGTTACAACTCTGACAACTGGCTCAGTGACCAGGAGCAAGTCTTTAATGTCTTGGTTCCCCAGGCGATTCTCAAGACTCCAAGTTGTGCATATGTTATACATTAGAATAGGGAGTTTCCTTACTGGGAGCTCCCTACAATGAAATTAGAGAGCCAGACCAAAAAACAGAAAAATAAAAAATTTAAGGTGACTAATAAACATTCTAGAACTGGCACTTGACTAACTTAATGCCTATATTTGAAGGTGCTATGGCAAAGATATTTATGCAGATTAGTGGCAGTTTTTAAATGAATATGAATAAACATGTAATTTCATCACTTAAAAAAAATAATTTAAACATAGTATAATGTAGTAAAAATAACACTGGAATTTTAATGAGACCCAGGATTTTACATGTGTGTTGGGCAAGTTTATAAACACCTAAGTTTCCTCTTCTGTAAAATAGTTGGGATACTTAACAAGGTAATTTATTAAGCCCCCTTTTTTAGCTGCAAAATTCTCTAATTAAAAAAGGATTTATCAATTAAGTAAGTGCCAAGAATTAGTAAAGTTATATGCCAATTATAATCAGGACCTGAAAGAAATAAGGATGGGCCCATGTAATGGCCTCTACCTCCTTCTGATATTAGGCTTCCACTGGAAGGCCCTAAGGGGAAAAACAACAATATTGGGACCCAGAATTTGCCTCTAGGTATTTTTTTTTTTAAACAGAAAAGCACTAAATTACAACAAGAGCTTAAGACAGATGTTTTCTTTATTTCTGACTTGTTTTCAAAGACAGCTTTTGTCCTCAGCTATTCCTGTTAACCATTTCTCATAGTTACAGGGAACTTAATTTTTTTGGTTTGTATTTAGGGTTTGTGGGGGAAAGGAATGGAGGCTTTCACATGTGAATTTTAAAATGTAAACTATTTTTAATGAAAAAATTTATTTAAAAATATTTTAAAACAAATTTTTATTATAAAAAAGTTAAACATTTTCTGTCACTTCAGTATGTATGATTCCATTGGTTTTACTATAGAATTTCTGGTAGTATACCATGGGATTTGAGGTTCCAATAAAAAATGCTGAAAACTCACCATTTCACTCATCTGATTGCAAATATTTATTTTTTTTCACAGCACTGTGCTAGGTATCATGGGAAAGATAATAAGAATAAGCTACCTTTATGGAATTTACAATCTGTAGGATACATAAGACTGCCACAATTAAAGTGCAATAAGGAAGACACAAAATGCTTGGTGGACGTTACAAGGTCTAGGTCATGATCATAAGCTACTTTTCAGTTTAATGTTTATATCTGCAGTAGAACTAATTGCATTGATGTGGACTTTTTTACCTGATGGAATCTTTTAAGATGGAGAATAAGAATGGCTGGAACAGCAGAAATGAGCAACTGTTTCCTGGCATTGGTATACACACCTTCTGGCTTCTTTTCTACATAAAACATAATTTTTAAAATATCTGTAAAATTGTATTAAATCATATAATATATAATTATTCACTACTGCACTGGTTATATAGTGTGATAAATTATTAAAAATTTAAAATATGGACTGGAAAGATCTATACAAATACAACTATAAGAAACAAAAGAGCAAGATTCATAATGACCAAAATGTAAATTAAGAAAACACTGAAAGACAACTAAATTCTGGTCAAATAAAACAGCCTTAGTCCCAGATGAACTGGGGTTAAAAAACACTTCCTTTTTTTTAAAAAATGATGAACTCAAAGAAAAGAAAGTAAAGTGCTGTCAATAAAAACTGCCATATGGGAAGGAACTATGAGAGTATTGTTGCTTCTGAAATGAGTGATATCAAATAAAATGTATAAATAAAAAAATCAGAAAAATAAAAGTGCAAGAAAAGAATTAAGTATAATCAGCAACACTTAAAATCACGTTCTACAGACATCTGCAAAGTTTCATTGTGACTGAGGTGATGAAAACTTTATTTACATAACATTTTATAAACTTGACTTATATATATTCACCTTTAAATTTCTCTTAAAACAATGCAATATTTAATATTATCTTGAGATAACAAAAATATCACTCTAACACATTTTCAGAAATGTAGTGTTTCTTATTGAACAAATATCCTGAACTTCATTGTCTCTTGAAAACTCCACCTTTTCTGTGCTCTTTAATATGAAACTAAATACATTTGTATAAAACTTCAAATCATATCAGTTCATTCTAGCACCTAAAAAGGCCAGGGAAAATTTAACCATGCCTATATCTTAAGGTCCTAGAGTACCTCCTAGAAGGACCAAATACAAAGATCAAAAGATCCTATGCTAAATTCAAACATCTAATACCAGGGTCAGCAAACTACAGCCTAAGGTCTTTATTTAAAATCCTTTTATTTTGAAAACAAAGTTTCATTGTATTTTTTGGGTGGGGGGGGCAGCAATCAGTGTTAAGTGACTATGTCCAGGGTCACATAGCTTTTAGGTGTCAAGTGTCTGAGGCCATATTTAAACTCAGGTCCTCCTGACTCCAAGGCCAGTACTCTATCCACTCTATCCACCTAGCTGCACCCACTGTATTTTATAATATATGATACACTCTTAGCTCATAGCCCCTACAAAAATTGGTGGTGGTGGATTTGGTTCAAGTTTACCAACCACTTATCTAGTATGGCCTACAATCACAACTGAGTTGTGTACCCTTGTCAACATTTAAAGACTGTGCTCTCTATGTCCATTGGAGATCTTGGAGTATTCAACTGTAACACATACAGCTTGATTTATCATAAACAATCTAAATGTTAATGGTATGCTACACAGAACTTTCTGGCTTCAAAATACTTGTATATCCTAGCACTTAGCACAGTACCTGGCACATATTTGGTACTTTAAAAATGCATGTTTATAAAAAATATTAAGAAGTGTATCTTGTTTTCAGAAAAACCTGTAAAGACTTACATGAGCTGATGCAAAATGAAGTGAGCAGAACCAGGAGAACACTGTATACAGTAACAGCAATATTATATGATGATCAACTGTGAATGATTTAGCTATTCTCAGCAGTACAACAATCCAAGACAATTTCAAAGGACTCATGATAAAAATGTTATCCACCTCTAGAGAAAGAACTGATGGAGTCTAAATGGAGATAGAAGCATATCTTTTTCTTTGCTTTCTTTCTTTTTTTTTGGTCTGTGTTTTCTTTTACAACACAACTAATATAGAAATGTTTTGCATGACTGCACATGTATAAACTATATCAAATTGCTTGCTTTCTCACTGAGGAGGGAAGGGAAGGGAGGGAGAGCCAGAATTGGAACTCAACATTAAAAATTAATGTTAAAAATGTTTACATGTAATTGGGAAAAAATTTGAAAATTAAAAAAATAAAATAAAATAAAATGTGAACTGAAAGTGTTCCTTGTTGAGATTTCTGTATATTACACAGTAGGTATCTACTAAAATTTGCGAAACAAAAGACCCACCTCTTCCAAAATGGCTGGACAGGACCTGGTAAGGTTTGTCAACAGAGAAATCATAAGGAAATTGTACTGGAAATTGATTTTTCTGTTCAAATTTTATAAACACAAATGTTTAAAGGATATTGTGATATATGAGTAAATGCTGTGTACATTTCAACTCAGACTTCACTAGAGCAGCTATACATTGGGGCCTGATGCTTAATAATCCAAGTTCATAAATTTTTTTTTTAATCAATTCAGATAAGGATGCTTAGACTCTACAAAGACTACTTCATGTTAACCAAACTCCTAAGAGATTTATTTAGACGAATGACCAATTCCAATTATCCTATTCTGCCAGTCACGTATCCTCTTATCAATAATATACTGCTTTCTGCATGGGGCACCTCCAAATTCTTAGTTGATCCAATTGGGAAATCAGCAGGTCCAATCAGAAAATTTAGACAGATATTTCAGTCTAAAAATATAATTACTGTCAATTATATAGAATCAGAATTCTGTTTCCCTTGCTCAGTGATGAAAGTACACTACATATTCTTAATTTTCAAATCCTCTTATTCAATCTTTGTTCAATGATCACTAAAATATTTGGTTATTACTTAATTTGACTTGCAATTTTAAGATTTGTTGTGATTTATGAATTTAAAGTTTATCTTATGTTGGTTTATGTCTTATAGGGTCATAAGACCATAGGATGTAGAAGGTCATCCAGCGCCACATCTTCATTTTGCAGATGAGAACAATGAAGCCCAAACACAGAAAATTGCTTGTCAACAAGACAGTAAGTGGCTGAGCCAGGTTTTAAACCTGAGTCTTCTAATTCCAAATACAGCACTTTTTCCATTTATTATACCATATTAGTTGCCTTGATGAGATTTGGGAGGCACTTTAAGGTGATCATTTATATATTTCATATTTTAGCTACATTATAGTTATCTTCCCAGAAGTAGACAACTAACTCCATCAACTGTATATGGATTCTTATCTTTTAATATGCGTTGTATTTTCTGACTTGGTCTACAGGTCTTAGGGTTCATCTTATTTGAGGGAAGTAATTCAGTTAATTCACTTCAAAAATTATTAACAACTGCTACCTACAGGGTGCTGGGATGATAAATATAAAAAACTATAGAGTTCTTTCCTTCAAGGAGTTTAATATCTAATACAGGGATGAGACAATAATGTTAGTAAATAATTAGACCAAGAGTTTACCTGTAGAATTGATTTTCTTTTGGTACATCTGTTTCTTTTCGGTACAATTCTCACATAAAAGCTTGTTATTTCCCATTAGTAACTCCACTGATGTAAACTGGTAGAGACAGGACTGAATTGAACATTCTTTGGAAGAAGTTGAATAGCTCTGAGAAAGGGTTTGGAAAGCATTCTGGGGGCCATGAGATAACGTATACTTCTCCACTGAACATAATGAATTGCTTGAAAATTTTAATGGCTGATGTTCATTGTTAAGCTCTGTACCTCTAGTTACAGTGTCACTTAAGCTGAGTTTGGCAATGGCTTCAGTGATCATTTCCTTACCACTCTCATTGGCAATTGCAGGGACTACTGATGAATGAGGAGGAACACCTTCGTGCAAAAAAGATAAACTACTGGGTCTAACAGAAATGGTTTGCTTTGAAGCACTTTCACATTCTGAAGCCTCACTGTCAGCATCAACGCTGCTTTCAGAATGGCTGACTTCTTTTTCACTTCCATCAGTCTGACTTGCATTTGCTGTAGTCTCAGACACCCTGCTTGTGTCTCCTATGGACAAAATTGAAGAATCCCCATTTATTTCAAGGTTTCCATTTTTTTGTTGCATGATAACAGGAATTTTCTCTTCTTCCCCAGACGATGATTTTCTTACAAGTCTTCTTTCATAATTTAGCTGATTCTATAAATTGATATGATATTTTCAGAGAAAGAAAGGAAAAAATGGACTTAAAAATTAGGTTCTAGTACTAGTTAAACTTTCTAAAATTATTTGCTAACATCTTCTTATTCTCCAACATATACCATTTGCAGCAATTGAAATTTCTAAATTTGAATTCCTTGATTTTTTAGAAGCTCCATATTATTATTTTAAGATAGGGAAGAACTTACCAAGCATTAGTCACAAAATGTTGGTATACAACGATTAATTCCAATCCAAAATTACAAACAACAAAGTACATCACAAATCCTCCAATTATGTAATGTTGACTACCTGACAATTCAGGGAGGAGTCTGTATCTCTTCCAAGTTTTGCTAATGAATTACTAATATGGCCCAGAATATGTAAAACAATTATGTTTATTGTGGCAGTAAGTGACAGGGATAAAAGAAGCAAAATCTACCTCAAAATCCAAAATTAATTTAACCAAAGGCTTTAACTAGCCAAAATGACTTTTTCCCTCTTTTTTCGGGTCTACTCTATGACTATGTATTGTGAGATATAAAAAACAAACAAAAAACTCACAATGAAAGAAAGGATGAAGAAAATCTACAAACTGAACAAATCATTTTAACTTGGATGCTTCAGTGAAGTGCTTCTTCCACTATAATGTTGCACTCATAATTGTTCAATTTCTCTTTAAGTTTATACCTTCTAGTTAGCACATACATCTTAGAAAGACTTTTCAATAGACTAAACATAGTGAGAATAAACTGATGCGAAGGATTACTTTTTTTTTCATGAAAAAGGAGAAAATGAATGGGAAGAAACCCTACAGTTGCGGTAAATGTTCAAACTTGGCTCCAATTTGTTTATTTTTCTACCTGTTGTCTTGTGCTAATAATTTTTTGCCTCACATCATTTTCCAATAAAAATTTTGCATTCATATGGTTTCCCTTACTATTTTTACATTTATTTTCCATCACGGCAGTACTTCTTCCTTTCTTTCCATCAGCTGCCCACTTGCTTTTTTCTACCCTGTCCTCCTCCTCCTCCATGCATTTACATTTCTGGCTTGGCTTCATTTATTCTTGTTTATTTCTTTTTTGTCTTTTTTTTTTTTTAAAGGCAATTGGGATTAAGTGACTTGCCCCAGGTCACACTGCTGGTAACATCAAGTGTTTGGTCTGAGGCCGGATTTGAACTCAGGTCCTCCTGACTTCAGGGCCAGTGCTCTATCCACTGAGCCACCTAGCTGCCCCATTTATTTCTTCTTTGATGATTCCTTATCATTCTTCATATTAGATTTTGTAGGGTTTTAAAAGGAAAGTTGTAGCACAATTTACCAGTAAAAAAAAAAGTGAAAAAAAATCTAACCATGGAAATTATTTGTCCTATTTATTAATTTTTTAAGTTGCAAGGGAAAGAAAAAGGCAAGTAATTAAGTAAGATGTCTGAAATCAACAATTATTCAAAATCTATTAAGTTTAACTAAAAAAAAAGCCAACAAGAAATTTAATTCTTTTCCTATTTTTAGGTGTTTTTTTTAGGCATTGCTGACTAAAAATATCATCAACTATCAGTCCAGAAATAATAAAAGTAAATACTCTTTTTTATCAGAATTACATAATTTGTAAATACAGCATTGGAAGAAATAGTTATTGGTCAATTAAAATAATGATGTGTACTTAAATGATTAATTTAAAATTAATTAAATATCCCTTAAAATATTAATGATAGTTTGTAATTCTGCCACGCATTCTTGCAGAAACATCTTGAGAAAGTTAGCGACCAGGAAAAGAAATGCAAGTGGTCTGAGCCTGCCTTTCTAAAACAGATTCCCCAAAGATTTAATGGATACTTCTTCACTATCTAATTTCAGATCGGTTACTGTGTAACAGCTAATTTTATATCAACTATTATCATATGTGTTGACAGACTACTAAGCAGACTAGAAGATAAACATGTCATTTTATAAACTTTCTTTTTCTGGTCTAGACTTGGGATTTCATTAGTACAGGAAATTCCTTGTGAGGGAACTCCCTCTACCAATGCAAAATGACAACTGATCTCCAACTAAAAGAGTATTAGAGTTACCTGTGGCACAGAGAAGTTAAGAGACTCACCCTGAGACACAAAGGAAGGAAGTATGTGTCAGAGGTGGGATGTGAATCCAAGCACTCTACCCACTAGGTCACTTGACCATTCTATTGCCTTCCACATTGATTGCGAGGCACTGAGACTCAGAACATAATCCCTCATATGGGAGATAAGCAGTAAAATCTTAACTAATTTCAATTCAGTAAGCCACAGTAAAAAAAAGAAAAACTAAAATTCTTATGGGATGATGTAATTTAATCAGATTTCTGAGTTTTTGTAGGGAAGATATTCCATTGGGTTATATACATTTGCTGAGTTCTTCTGCTTTACTTCCTTATTTCTGGTTAAGTTCTAGTCAATTTTCTTAACTCGAGTTAAGAGATATCATTTAGAAATTAGTCTTTTCCCTTTCTTTTAACTTTGTGAGGTTTTATTAGAATTATGTTTTATCTTTGTTGATTTAACTAAGAATGATCTCCTTATGTTATTTTATTTGCTTTTTGTTTTTCTATCATACAGTGATAGATCAGGTGCTAGGATGGACCTCATAGGCTACTCACTGTCCAACTCTACTCCCTCATTTTACTGGTGAAGAAACTGAAGCCTAGGATAGTTAAATGACTTGTCTGAGGTCACAAGTAGTAAACAAAAAAGGTAGTATCTGAATCTCAATCCTCTGATTCCAAAGCCAAAAAAAGAATCTGTTTCTTCTACTTATGTGAACTTCAATTAAATGTGTTAACTTTGTACTTTAATCTGATTAGATAAATTTTAAAACATATGTATACATATACAGATTAAAAGTACACATATCTGCTGAGTTTTTACAATATCAGACATATTAATAACAATATGCCAAAACCATAATCACCTGTTCAATATTGCAAAAATAACACCTATAAACACAAAATACTGACTAAAATGTTCTGTTCAATTTTGTTTCATAAAGATAATACTATAAGAAGTTTATTTTTAGAATTATTAAAAATAAGCAAGCCCATGAGATGGCTCTCAGAGATGAAGAGGGATATTGAAGGTAACTATGATGACGTAAAAAAGAAAGGATATCAATCAAAACTTATTTGCTTTAGCTCTTTTTGCTTTGGTGCCTCCAAAGGCCAATTAATAATGAAATCATTACCTAGAAAAAACATTTTTTGATCCTGAGGTAGTTCCCATGTGTTACAGAATCAGACTATATTGTGCTAAAATTGATACGAACCACATTAAGAGATCTGAACTGTGTTTTACAAGCTCTTAGGCCAGAGAAGGCTCAGTAGAACATGGAAGCTTATTTTCCTTATATTGGTTTAATTTCCACAAAATTTCATATTCACTAAATAGTACTGTCTATTTCAGCCAACACTACATCAACTTTAATTTAATCATGAGTACAACTTGGAGGGTTAAGAAGTAGTACTAGTTATCAGGATATTAATTTATATGTAGTAACTGTTTAACATATCTAAAGGCACACAGAACTTTTCTAAATTAATATTCCATTCACTATATTTCACCTACTATAAAATGTCAATAACCATTTTAGTAAGAAGGTGACTTATTAAAGGTTTTTTTTCTTTTAATTTAAGAAAAAAGACAACTTTTTGGTCCACGCAAATTAGATTCAACAAAAGTGGAGAGGGGGAGGACTCAAGGTTTCATCAGTGTAGGGAACTCCTTGGTCTAAAAGATCACTGGTAATTGCTCATCTTAAAGAGATGCTTCAGTGGACTGAGAGGCTAAGTGACTTGCCCAGGGTCACACAGGCAATATGAGACAAAGGCAAGATACGGGCCTTCCTGAAGCCTGCACAGCACAAAGTGCTTTATTATTACCAAAGAATTGGCATGAGGTATAATGCTGTGTATCCCATTTTTATTTAGTCCTGCTGAGTATATAGGACCATGAAATTATGAGTAAATAAAATCCAGTAATATGCATGCATACTAAAATTTAAAAAATAACTAAATATTAAATATCTTATTTGTGCAGGTTTTAAATGAACAAAAAATAAATCTGCATACTAAATGCATATAATCTTAGCTTACCTTATCTTTAGTTAAGGAGTGTTTCCTAGTACTTTTTAGATGATTATTCATTGTAGTAGCAGTAGTACAGTTGTATTGAACTAGGTCGGCCTCTTGTAAACTCTTACATTTATTCATTCTTCCCAACGGAACAGGTTTTGACACCTAGGTAGATCCACATATAAACAAATGCTACAGCAAATAACTTTTAAAAATATCCATTTTGTTCTTATATTCACTTGAAACATAAAATTATTCCTTCTCCTACACATCAACACCAATAACTTACGTAACAAGCACAGTGGATTTTTTTTAATCCTGAGTTATCAGATAGATATTAAATTTTTTAAAATATCTTCCATTTTATTATTATTTCCTTTAGGCATTTGAAAAACTAAAATGTTACTTAGAAAATCTTTAATAATTTTCTTTTTTCTTACCCTTTCTTCTATTATAGGAAGCGAAAGATCAATGAAAGGCTCTTTCATGGCTGAGATCTTTGAGAAAAGAAAAGCAAGAGAAGATTAAACTAAGTATAAATAGTAAAATTCTTTAACAATTATTGTGAAATTTTTGTTTTTAAAGAAATATAACTTATAAAATTATGCCATCAAAACTACAGAAACTAAGTAAAATATAAAACAATTTCTTTGTATGTAACAGTTCAGAATATTGAATCAGTAACAATAAAGAAAAACTTTTTCAAATGATGTAAAGAGTTTAAATACATATTACAACATTTTAATGATATTTGAAGTTATCTCAAAGGAAATAACATTCAATAAAAATTGATTATCTGAGAAAATTCAAAATGCCCTTGATCAAAAGTGTTACAAAGAGAGAAATGTATTTTGGATAAAAGAAAACATAGTAAAAATAGTTATTTAAGAAAAATTGTTTTTTCTTCCTCAAGAATATTTATAAAATATATTCTAAAAATTTAGAATGATGCCATGATGACACATATTAGAGATAAATGTGACAGGATGATATAACAGAATATGATATAATATATAATACTTTTTAAAAAGTGAATACAGAGAGAACATATTGGGAAATGTGCCAACATTTTTGGCCTATTCTGTCATTATAAACATGTACCAATTCAACACCCTAATTTTTCAAAATTCCACAATGGCAATAAAATACTTTATCAATAGGTCCAGATATTAAAATAAGAATTATCAAGTAATAGGAAACCTGTGAGATGATTTAATCGGAATTTTCCAGATTAAAAAAAAAAACTAAGTATGGCATTTGAAATGAAAATGAATACCAAATCCAACAGAATTCAATGAAAAAAAAAAACCCAGTAAGTTGTCTCTTTGTGTTATTAATAACTGCTTGTTGATCAATAGAATTCTATACTTCAATGGAAGGAAAATATCAGTAAATTATATTTTAAATTAATATTTTGCCTTAATATTAATATTTTAAATTAATATTTTGTTTTAGGTTACTGTAATAGTACCAGACCTGTTTTCATGCAATATTCTTTCCACCCCACTCTAACACGTAAGTTAATATGAGTAACAGTATCTGCTTTCTTTAACCTTTACAGGTTTGTTTTCAAGATCAAATGGAAATAACATATAAAAAAGCACAGTGGGGAAAATGCAAGTGTTTACATGGATCTAAAATGATTTTAATATTCATGCTCTAGAAAACAAGCATCTAGGAAAGGAGAGTATCACATTTTATTTTTTCCCCACTAAATAGTATTTTATTTTTTCCAATTACACATAAAGACAGTTTTCAACATTCACTATAAGTATTTATTTATTTAGGTGGCAATTAGGGCTAAGTGACTTGCCCAGGGTCACATTGCTAATAAGTGCCTGAGGCCAAATTTGAACTCAGGTCCTTCTGACTTCTGGGCTAATGCTCTATCTACTATGCCACCTAGCTGCCCCTGAGTGTCACGTTTTAGATGGGACTAAGCTATTATGAAGTAATTCTTCATTAATGCAGTTTGCCAAGTTACACTTAAAACAAAACAATCATAAAACCAATATGTAATTGTGATCTATTATTCCACATTGAATTGCATGCCAAAATACCTACATTTTCACATTCCTCACACATGACTGTGCTAGTCAATTCACCAACAAAGATCCTATCTATGAAGTTCATCTTCACTCCCTCTCTTCCATATGCTGCAAAAATAGTGCTTTTTTAATTTAAAACATACATAACATCAATAATAAAAATAAAACATTTGATTTCATTCAAACATAATCAGAACAGTGTAGGTATTTACTTTATATACTAAATATATATACGATATTCTTCCTCCTCCCATATTTGCTCCCTCCCCTCAATTTTCACAGAATCCTAAACCTCTGAAGGGTTAGTTACAACCTAAATCTATTTGCTGAAAATAAATAGTAGCATTAATCACAATTTAGAGTTACTGCTATTCCCAAACTTTCTGAATTTCTTCTCTATTTACCAGTTTAAGCAGTAAAATGCTCAAGTACAATTACTATTTTATTAGGCACTAAAATATGCAATTGACTGTTACTATTTTGTATTTACTTAGCAATCTAGGAATATACATTTTAAAAAATTATAGGCATACTTCTCTACCACTCTACTCTTCCAGGACTCACACCTGTCATATTTCACATAAACCTTTAAAACAATGTCATATCATGAAAATAAACTTCTTTTGGGATAATTCTTTAGAAAAGGAAGAAACTCTAAGGAAGATGAAGAAAATTTATGTTTGTTACATGAGAAACCTATATAAAAACAGATGTCACATATATAAATTATTTATGTAGACATACACACAGAGAAATACAAAGAGACAGACATCTAAAGAGATAAAATGACAGAGACAGATAAAAGAAACAGATATACAGAGAAAGATATACAAAAAGATGGGTTGGCAGAGACATAGACTTGGTCTAGATCTGCAATTTCATTAGTGTAGGCGATTCCTTTTGTGGAGATTCCTTCCAAGGATACAGATTAGCAACTTTCCTTAACTTCCAGTCTTACAAAGTTGCTAAGAGCATTGGGAGATTAACTGATATGCCAAAGGATCATATAGCCAGTACTCAGTGGCAGAAAGTGAACTCAGGTAGAGAATAGCCCTGTCTGTCTACTATAACAGAGGCATTAAACTGGAAAGGTTGCAAGGAAGTGACCCAACTCTCCAGTGTACCCTGAACCAGATTAAAATATAACTGGGAAATATTTAATAAAATAAATAAAAATAAAAATATAATACAACAGAGATAATGTTAATTTGTGGCTTTCTAAGTCAATATGCAACCTGCAAGGATCCCTTTTTATTTGAGTTTGACAGTACTGCATTCATTACGCTATACTGCCTCTCAAATATACACTAAAGTTAATAAAATTAGGCCTATTATAATAAATCTTTAATACACGGGAAATGACAATGACCTAAATTGAATTTTAAAAACAAGTCATTTTATTTAGCAAACAAACTAATGCTGAAGAAAGAAGTAATAAATGTTTGAAGAACATCCAAGTTACTAACTACCATCTAAATCAAATTACTTGAAAAAATTCCTCAAAACCTGTGAAATTAATCATCATTAAATTTCAAATGTGAGGAAGATGATGATATTATGGGTTCATAAAGGTACAACATGAAATATTACAGAGAATAAATTCTGCTTGAGAACACAAAAAAACTTTCAGTTAAAAATGGGTTAAGAGAAAAATTAGTTTGAGTTATTCTATTCATACACTAGGTGGCACTACTCTAACACAAAAATTCAGCTAGCATAGAGATTTAGTCTTTACAATAATCATTTTAAAAGAAAATGTAAAAAAAGAAATTCTGAGGAATGCACTAATTGTTCTTAAGTTAAAGCTACAGATCATATAAATGTGACAGTAAAAGAGTCAACATACCTTTGATTTTTTTTCTAGTTTCTTCATCTGCAGTTTTAGTAGTTGGGTTATTAAATGCTTTTAGTATGCCAGTTTGTATTCTCTGTAAAAACAAGTCCAGTAAGTACTTTAAGAGAAAAAAATATAAGGCTTGAATTTCTTGAAACAGACACAGTTCAGTTTGTTGTACTACAGTTTATTCTTCTAAATAAAAATCTACTTCTTGATAGAGGCATCATTGTATGTCAAATCTGTCAAGAGATCTGTAAGCTCTCCAATCTGTTACCCACCTACAGTAAAAGGTGTCTCAAAAGATAAGTCACAACCTCTTGAGATCTCAATTTCCTTTTCTGCAAAACAGTAGGGTTAAGTTATGATTTTGAAAGTGAATCTTTAGCTCTAAATTCCATGAACCCCAGTTTCTAAAGGTGTATTCATTTCTTCAGATCCCAAAACCCCATTTTGTAAACCTTGTGGTTTAAAAATGTCAATGTAGTTCCAAAAACACAAGGAGCTCATTCTCTTTTTAATTTAAAAGTTCTGGGCTCATTATTTCAAAGTGATATATCATTCTTCAACCAAGGCTACAGAAAGTAATACATGTAGATGATGAAAAAAATTTAAACAACTAAATTTAAGACAAGTTATTTTATAAGTTTTCACTTCAATTCCTAGCCATATAAATTCTTCTAAAACAATCTTCACACTATTATGCTGATCAGCTCAAGCGAAGACCAGGATATCAACTGTCTACATCAAGAAAGAACAATTAAAAGTTTCACTAATCAGGGTTTAGTGTACACTTAACAGTTGTGAATAATCATTTGTTGGTGTTGAAATATACTGTCTACTTAATTAAAGCCACTGTTGGCTATCAAATAAACAATAATGTTTAAATTTCTACATATATCATATTTTCCACACTCACATCAATTTCAAGTATTAAAAACTCTGTTCAAGCTATAGGTAGAGATGAAGCTCTAAAGGGTCTAGGAACTCAGATGACAGGGTCCAGGTGGGAAGAAAGTCCTTATTTCAAGTAGGTGAGGTAGAGCACTTCAGCTTCCTGAGAAACTCTCGGGATGAGGCACTTGGCTGGCCTGTCGACAAAGGAGCTCTTAAAATGATCAAGAACTTCCCTGGCTGAATGAGGTCCATAAGACTCTCACATCTCTTCCCATCATCTCCCTCCCAGTGATAGCCTGTCCCCTTAAGCCCTTTGTTGGTCTATGATCCTTTTTCCAGTTGGCACTTGGGTCAAAGCCCAGCAGCCCCAGGTACATAGTTATAGCTCTGCAAGTTCCTAGAATAGATATTAATGTGAAAATACTGGCAGAGTTTGACTTGGTATGAAATATAGGATTTGCGAAATTCAAAATTACTTCTATGCTTGAAAATCATTTTTATTTAATCAGTTTAGTTATTCCATCTCTGCCCTGACACTCCAAGTTCCTGACCCAGAATCCTGATCTGACTGGTTCATTTCAATTATGTCATCTAGCCTAGATCCAGACTCATCTTGATACTCCCAAGCCAGTCTCCAACCTTCACCTACTACAGGCACTACAATCTCCCTCCCTGGCACCCTGGGCTTTTGATGTATGAGCATTCATCACATGTAGCTTAGACCTGAGCCACCATGCCTCTTCCCAATCATACTTATGCTTCTATGCTCCTGGCTATCACTTTCCTTTATGTGTTGTTTCCCCTACTATAATGTAGCTCTTTGAAGGAAAGGCTGTTTTGCTTACTTATATGGGCATCACCCTAGTAGTCGGTGCTTAATAAATGCTTTTCTAATCTATTCTCCTCCACTAATGAATGCAGTAGCTAGCAATTCACAACTAGCCCTCTTCAACCTGGGCAATTCAGGCCCATGTTTTCTCATACAGTAGCTACTCAATATATTGAAGGATTTCTTCTTATTGTGAAATTGAGTTCCATTTATGAATTGCTATCAATGGCCAACAACAGCAGATCTCACATAAATCTCAGTTACTAATTTCCTAAGAAGTATATTGAAGGCTATAACTATCTTTGGCTTATTTAAACATAATTCTAAATATTTATTATTATACTACCCAGGGAAGTCTTTATGTCAAAGAAATTTTCAAAACACTAAAAACCTAAAAAAATCCACAAAAAATCCAATACTAAAAACCTCATTAATATGAGCTGTTTCAATTTGAAATTCACAATAATTTAATGTGGAATGTTGCATGTATCAAAAAATTAAAAATATTTTTTACAATTCACACATTAATTTTTCAGCCTGTCCATTATCTAAATTATCATGAACTAGTTAAGATTTTATAAGCTGATCAAGACAATTAGCTATGTAAAAATAAAAATAATGAAAGATCTGAAATAATTTCAAATTAAATAATATGTTCACCTCTTGAGCTTGTGACTTAACTTATGAACTCCCTAATGCTCCCTAGCCTTGATCCTTAAAAACCAATAATACACAAAAAACTCTAATCAACAGGTAATTCACTAAGCTGAATAAATGTTCATAGACCTATAAGCAACCCTCTTTGTTGGGATTTGTACTTTTGAAAGTCAGGTTAAAAAGAGACACTGCCTTTGGTCAGAGTATTCTTAACAACTGTAACACATTGGTTAGCAGCAGGATCCAAACTACTTTAAAGCCCTGTATTTAAACAGTCTCTCAAGCACCAGAATAATTGCTAAGTATAATTTCAATTGAGTAACTGACAGTTCCTGATTTAAAAATATTCCTCATTTATAATAATACATATTTTCAGAAATCATAGAAATATTGAGAAAATGTTGAAAGCAATGATAGTAAAGAAATTACATCTATGATCAAAAACAAAGAAAAGTAGAAATCATTATTGAAAGAAAAATTTTAACACGAAACCCTAGCAATTTCAAATATAAAAAAAATTTAAAAATAATTGTAGTAGATGATATTTTTCAATAAACTTCAATACATTCTAATCTAATTCTAACAGAGCGACTTTTAAAGCCACAAATGATTTCTCTCAATTATACAGCTTATATGTTAAGGTTTTTAGTATTAGTGAGTCAAACAGAAGGCTCTACATGAACACAATTAGATTGTTCTGCGCAACTATTCTCCAAAAAACTGTTCCTACAATGCAGAAGCATTCACTTTATCTTTGTATTCAACAGGATTACTTTCCTAAACTTTACATTCACTAGAAGAGATTTTATGAAAATAGCCCGAAAGAAGGTCAGTAGCTGTAATTATTTCTAAAGAATTCTGGTGGCAGACATATTGCTATAGGCTTTTTTCAATCAAAAAACACATGGTAGTGACACTCTACAACAATAGCACGATTAACAGCTGTGGAGTTCCCAGGCTAGACAATGCTGCTACTGCTTGCGTACTCACTGTATCTGACTGGCACAACTGTCATTGCTCACAAGGCTGAATAGATCCTCAGACTTGACACTAATTTTGTCACACTATCTAAATTAAGAAAAAAAGAGCTTTTCCTAGTAATCTTGCTGAGCTGTTTGAGGTGATAAAGTCACACACACACACACACACACACACACACACACACACAACATTCATATGTGCACTGTTACGATAAAAGAGGAATTGTTTAATTGCAGAAGGAGATAGCACCAAATTTCATTAACCTGGTAGCACAAATGATAGGAATAAATATCTATATATCTATATTTGTATCATAAATGGACATTAAAAATTAAAAGTAAATCAGCTATTATAATTTAAGTTGCATTAAAGTGCCTGACAACAAACAGTAAATTTGCACTTATAAAACTAAGGACAACAGTTTCTTCTGTCAATCTGACTTAATTAGTTTTATTTTAACTGACAATTTCATTATCTATGGGGAAGTAGGCCTCACATTACTTTGACTATCTAGTATGTGACTTTCACAATTTCTCATTCAGCTATCCTTCCTCCAATTCTACAGTTACAATAATTACAGAATATAGCACAGTATTATAGTTAGGGATTTTACTCTGTGACAGACTTCATGCTTTGTCAAATAATTTAAAAAAATTGCTAGTTGCTAACTTCTGTGTAATAAATATTAAAAATAATAAAGAAAAGTCTACACTAACCACAGTTAGTACAGTTTAAAAATCTAATAAATTCATTAGGATTGTAAGCTGGCTGCAAAAGAAAAAAATAGTACATATTTGGAAAACACAGTAAGAATCAACTTAAAGACCTATTTACTGCTGTACATTTCACTCTGAAATATGTGAAGAATAATGTAGTACCTGATGCTTATATAGTGCTTTAAGGTTTGAAAAGCATTTTACACTAATCACCTTATGTGAGTCTCATAACAACAGACAAGATAGCTTACTACAGATGTTATTATCTCCATTTGGTAGAAGTAGTAACTGAGGTTCAGATAAGATGTGATCCATAGCTTGGATTTGAACACAGTTTTTCTGGCTTCAAATTTAATACTCTTCCTACTATATTATGCTGTCTCTCATATAATGACTCATATTTATGCAACATCTTAAAAGCATTTTTCAAAGCATTTCCCTCACATGAACATTATGAGATAAGAATTATACTTACCCTATTTTATAAATAAGAACACAGAAGCACAAAGAGGTTAAGTGACTTGTCTAAGGTCACTCTGCTATTACTTTGCATGGGTCAGGGCCTTGACTCCAAATCTATTGTTTTTCCACTCACAGTTGTTACCATTTCTGTAACAGCTATAGTTTAACATGCCAAAGCATATTAAATAATAGAAATCTTAATGAGGATTTTTTTTATGTTGGGAACAGAAAATGCATAGTGTAATCTTACTAAATCTCTCAGTTTATCAGAATATTTAAATAAATGATTAACATCCAACCAACTAGATGCATATTATTAACCCATTTAAATAAGAGTAAAGTAAGGTATTGAACAATTCAAATAGGAATCCTCCTCTACATCATTCAATTCAACAAACAATTCAACCATAAGCATCGAAACTATGTGCAACTGAGCTAGTTAACAGAAATAAAAATATCACAGTCTATCCTCAAGTAGTTTATAATCTAATGGGGAAAGATAGAAGAGAGATAAGAAAATACAGTACAATACAAAGCAGAATGTGATAAATGCCAAGGAGAAATACAAAACAATGCATATTAAGAATAAGTAGAGCATACTTTTCGCTAAGGTAAAATCAGGGCAGGCTTCATGACGGAACTAGCACCTATGCTAAGCCTTGAAGAAAAGAATTTTAATATGCAGAAATGTGAGGTGAGTTTGTTTCAGTGTAGCAAGTCCTGTGTGAAGTGTAGGATGTGTGTGTTTGGGGTGGGGTGGAGGAGGTGGGGACCAGAATGAAACCACAAAATAGCCAGTAGTCCAGTATGGTTGGAATGCTAGAGCACTCCAAAGTTTTGAGTCTGATTAACTGGGGAGGATATGACACCATCAATGTTGTGTTGTTACTGTTCAATTGTTTCAGTTTGATTTTTCATGACCCCATTTGGGATTTTCTTGGAAAAGATACTGGAGTGGTTTGCCATTTCCTTCTCAAGCTCATTTTACAGATGAGGAAACTGAAACAGAATTAAGCCCAGGGACATATAGATAGTAAGTGTTGAAGCCAGATTTGAACTCATGAAGAAGAATCCTCCTGACTCCAAGACTGGAATCTATCAACTGTGCCAGCTAGCTGCCTTGACACCATCCACAGAAACAGGTAAATTAGAAGGACAGGCTGTATACAATAGCACAGGCAGAATCTTATAAATGGCTAAATGATGTCACAGCAGGATTTTGTAATTACATGAAGTGGTTTAGCTAAAATAACTAATATAATATATAAAATAAATTAACAGTGGTTGGGACAATCTCAAGAAGTACATATGAAAACCGTTAGAAAATTCTAATCTTACCTGGTTTTCCTCTAATGGAAGTTGGGCAGGAAGAAAAATTGGGAGCAATAAAGATACAGAGCTGCACTATTTCAGTTTGCAACAGCAAAAATGGAAGAGTGTTAGGCTTAAGATATACTGATTTTTTTGTTTGAAGGATATGGCTACTCTATAGCATGTTACTTTTTAGCTTAAAAAGAGTATTAGTTCATGTGGCTATTTTGTAAAAATTTCATTCTACATGAACAAATAGAAAAAAAAATGACTGAAATGTAGGTTCTTTTAATATTGAAGTTTTGAGAAATCAATGGATTGCTTATGGCCAAAGGAAAAATTATCTTGATGGAGGAAATTAAAAGAACATTTATAAACTTGAGCTCTTCTGAAATTAAATTCTATAATGATGTTACATCTCTGCAGGTCATTATCTACACTATGGAAAATAGGCATACTGATATTTAAAAAATGTATATATATATATATATATATTTAAAATAATAGCCATAAGAAACTTCACCTTTGTTTCTTCTATCCTCATTGCATCCAGTAAATAATGGAGAAGTTCCTGACTATCCTGCTGTTGGAAACCTTTAAATCGTGGAGCCCTGTGATTTAAAAAAAAAAAAAAAAAAGGGTAGGGAGAAGAGAAAGAACAATGATACAAAAAACTTTGTGAGTATTATATAAAAATACTTGAAAATAACGGTATCACAAAATAAAGGCTTCAAGAAATGTAATAATTTTCACATAATGACTCAAACTTTTCCTTGGTATCACATAAAGGTAGATATGGGACATATGAATACTACAATAAATAAGAAACCATTAGGACACATTAACAAAAAATAGATAATGTTCAATTTTATAGTACCTAGAGAGAACTATGATAATGTGCTTACTATACTATAGACTCCAAAAGGGCAAAGATAGTAGTTTATTTAAGCTATGTTCCTTTTCTAGCACCTAGTATAGTGCTCTGACCAATAGGTCTTAATAGATGTTTGCTGAATGGAAAGTTTCCAGATTATCTCTTGCACAATGAAAAATATTTTCTTTAAAACTATTACTACACTGGATGACCTCTCTGTAACATCATTTGTCTAGGAAGGTGCTGTAGCTTAACGAAGTTAACAAAAGGACCTAAAAAGCAGTCTGATAGTATGGACTTCTTCAGAGGACAATATTTTCATGAGGCTACACTGTTAAAAATGGAAAAGTTAATTGTTTCCCAAGACAACTGAGGAATTAAAGTCACAGATGTTTTGAATAGGTGCAATAATAAAGAATTTGCATGAGTACTTGAAAACTCTTGCTATCATACCTGGAATTATTTGCCCATCTAGACTTAAAAAAGATTAGCTAGCTCTAGAGCCTGAAATATTGGAACAACTGCATGTTTTAATAAGCTAATTCTTTTTTCTTTTTGTCGTGATACAATTGGGGTTAAGTGACTTGTTCAGGGTCACAAAGCTAGTAAATGTCAAGTGTTTGAGGCTGGATTTGAACTCAGGTCCTCCTGACTCCACGGCCAGTGCTCTATCCACTGCACCACCTAGCTGCCCCTTAAGAAACTAATTCTGAAGGTTTCTACTTTTTAAGTTTAAAAAGTAAGTGGTCAACAAGCATTGACTAAGCATTTGCTATGTGCCAAGCACTATTCTAAATGCTGGGAATACAAATATAAGCAAGAAGAACACAGTCCCTGTCCTCAAGGACCTTACAAATATTTGAATAGGGGAAGACAATCAATCAGTTAATCAAACATTTATTAAGCATCTACTATATAATGCCTGGCACTATGTGAAGTGTTAGGGATACAAAAAGAGGCAAAAAAAAAAAAGTCCCTTCCTCAACGAGCTTACACTCTAATGAGTGAGTTAACATGTACACAAATATATAGATACAGGATAGATAGGAAATAATGGAGGAAAGGCACTGGGGAAGACTTCCTAATCCTGCTGGAAACCTGTAAATCCTGGAGCCCTGTGATTTAAAAAAAAAAAAAAAAAAGAGGGTAGGGAGAAGAGAAAGAACAATGATACACAAAACAGGAAGGCAAGATTTTAGTTGGAACTAAAGTCAGAGAGGTCAGTAGTCAAGAGTGTAGGAAGGAGAACATTCCAGGTATGGGAGACAAGCAGAGAGAATGCTTGGAGCTTGGAGATGAAGAGAGTCTTATTCATGGAATAGTCAGGAAGCCAGTCACTGGACTGAAGAGTATGGGGAGTAAAGTATATTAAGATTAGAAAGGTAGGAGGGGACTAAGTTATGAAGGCATTTGAATACTAAATATAGTGGTTTGCATTTGCTCCTGAAAGTAATAGGAAGCCACTAGAATTTACTGAGTGGGGGATAACGTGAGGTAGGGTGTGTGTGTGTGAGAGAGAGAGAGTGATGAATGGACCTGCTTTTTAGGAAAATTACTTTAGTGGTCAAATGAAGGATGGACTGGGTAGGGAGAGCATTGAGGGAAGTAGATTCCCAAAACAGGCTGTTGAAATAATTTATGTATGAGTTGATGAGGGCCTATACCAGAATGGTGGCAATGTCAGAGGAGAGAAGGGATGGATGTATCTGAGAGATATTGTAAAAGTGAAATCAAAAGGCCTTGGCCAACAGCTTGGATATGGAGATAGTGTGAGGTGTGCGAGATAGTGAAGAATCAAGGATGACTTCTAGGTTGTAAGCTTGAGGGACTGGGAGGACGGTGTTGTCCTCTAAAGTAACAGGGAAGGTATGAGAAGGGGAAGGTTTGGGGGAAAAGAAAATAAGTTCCATTCTGGACATATTGAGTTTAAGATGTCTACTGGACATTCTGAGTTTAAGGTGTCTACTGGACATCCAGTTGGAGATGTCTGAAAGGCATTTGAATACACGAGACTGGAGTTCAGCAGACAGACTGGGACAAGAAAGGAAGATCTGGAAATCATCAGCACAGAGATAATTAAATCCAAGACAGCTTATGAGATCACTAAGTGAAGTAGCATAGAGGGAGAAGAGAAGGGAACCCAGGACAGAACCTTGTGGGGCACCTACAGTTAGAGGGTGTGATACACCAGGAAGACCCAGTAAAGGAGACAGAGGACCAGCAGCCAGATAGGTAGGAGGAAAACCAGGACATTGGTGTCCCAAAGAGAGAGAGAATGAGAAAGAGAATTTAGGAGGAAAGAGTGATCAAACGTGTCAAAGGCTGCAGAGAGGTCAAGGAGAATGAGAACCAAGAAAAGACCACTGAATTTGGCAAGAGATCATTGATAACTTTGGAGAAAGTAGATTCAGTGGAATGATAGGCTTGGAAGCCAGATTTTAAGAGGTTAAGAGAGTGAAAGGAGAGAGAGCGGGGGCACACATCGCGGACAACCTTTTCAAGGAGTTTAGCTACAAAAATGCAGAAGAGATACAAGATGATAGCATGGTTAGAAGGGTCAAGAGAGGTTTTTTTCAGGATAAGAAAGACATGGGCATGTGTGTAGGCAGTAGGAAATGAGCCAGTAGAGAGAAATATTGAAAATAAGTGAAAAAGTATGAATAACAGAGGAAGCAATCTATTGGAAGAGCTGGGATGGAATAGGATCAACTGAACAAGCAGAAGGGTTAGTCTTGGTGAGGAGTAAGGCCACTTCATTATGTGAGACAGGGGTAAAGTGGCAGAAGGCACCTGCATGGCAAAAGATGAGGAAAAGGGAAGAACAGCGAGTTCATGGCAAACAGTCTCAATTCTTCTGTAACATAAGAGGCAAGGTTCTCAGCTGAGAGAGGGGGGGAAGGGCAATCATGGTAGGTTTGAGGAGGGATGAAAAGGTTTGGAAGAGTGGCTGTGGAGAATGGGATAATAAGTTGATAAGGAAGATATAGTGGGATTGCCTAGTACCAGTGGGCCCAACTAAGATTATATAACAAATTTATAGTAGATCCAGTTCAAATGGTGAGGTGATTTCTCCACCTTCATTTAATCAAAACAACCCAGGTTTTACCTCAAATCTAGCACACTGGAAAAGATGACAAAAGACTTGAAAGGTTTAAGACAAACAGACAGACATAAAGTAGTTACATCATAATACTGGTTAAGTTGTGAAATGGTCCAGCCATTCTGGAAAGTAATTTGGAATTATTCTTAAAAAGTGACTATAAAATGTATATACTTTGACTAAAGATCCCACTCCAATATACATACTCCAGGGAGGTAAACAAACAGAAAAAGTCCCATACATGTCAAAATCTTCAGAGTAACCTTTGTAGTAGTAAAGAATTGGAAACAAAGTAGACACTCATATATCATGCTTAACTCCTCATTCTCTTTTACTCCTCCCTCCCCCAACCAAATGCCGTGACTCATTGTTTCTATCTTTCCAATAATATCTGTTGCATATGTCCCATTCTCTCCTCTGACAATGACACCATCCTTGGTGTAGAATACTTGACCTACTGCAGTAGGCTGCTCCCTGTTCTTCCTGTCTCAAGCCCCTCCCTGCTCGGCTGTCACAATGATCTTCCTAAAGTACAGGTTTGACCATGTCATACCATTTAATAAACTCTACTGGCTCCCTCTTGCCTCCAGGATTAAATATAAAATCCTGTTTAGCTTATAAAGCCCTCCCCAACCTACCAGTCTTTTTAACCCCTAACTCACTCCCATGTACTCTGTGATCTAGTGACACCACTGGTCTGCTTGCTGTTCCTTGCATACAATATGCCATCTCCTGACTCCAGGCATTTTTTTTGTTTTTTTTTTTAAATTAATAAAGTTATTTATTTTTAGTTTTCAACATTTACTTCCACAAGATTCTGAGTTCCAAATTATCACCCCATCTCACCCCTCCCCCACCCCAAGATGGCATGGATTCTGAATACCCCTTCCCCTAGTCTGCCTTCCCTTCTATCTCCCCCCCCTTCTCTTATCCCCTCCCCCTTCTATTTTCCTGTAGGGCAGGATTGACTTCTGTACCCCATTTTCTCTATTTCTTATTTCCCAGTTGCATGTGAAAATATATTTTTTTTAAACATGTGTTTTTAAAACTTTGGGTTCCAAATTTTCTCCCTTCCTCCCTCCCCACACACCCTCATCGAAAAGGCAAGCAACTCCATATAGTTATACATGTGTAGTTATACAAAACACTTCCATAGTAGACATGCTGTGAAAAATTAACATTTCCCTTAATCCTATCCCCCCACCATTTATTCTATTCTTTCTTTTGACCCTGACCCTCCTCAGAAGTATTTGCTTCTGATTACCCCTTTTCCCAATCTGCCCTCCTCTCTATCATCCCCCTACTCTCTTGTCCCCTTCTCCTCCCTATTTTCCTGTACGGTAAGACAGATTTCCATACCCAACTGAGTGTGTATGTTATTCCCTCCTTAAGT